CCTATTTCAGTTTTGGCATTTATATGTTTCTAGAAATTTGTCCATTTCTTTCAAATTGCCCAATTTGTTGGCATATGATCGCTCATAATATTCTTATTATCATTTGTATTTCTGCAGTGTTGGTTGTGATCTCTCCTCTTTCATTCATGATTTTGTTTATTTGGGTCCTTTCCTTTTTCTTTTTGATCAGTCTGGCTAGGGGATTATCAATTTTGTTAATTGTTTAAAACAGCTCCTGGTTTCATCGATCTGTTCTACCATTTTTCTGATTTTGATATAATTTCTTTCTACCCTAATTTTTATTATTTCCCTTCTTCTGCTGATTTTGGGCTTTATTTGCTGTTCTTTTTCCAGCTCTTTTAGGTGTAAGGTTAGGTTGTATAATTGAGACCTTTCTTCCTCCTTTAGGAAGGCCTGGATTCCTATATACCTCCCTCTTATGACTGCCTTTGCTACATCCCAGAGGTTGTGGGCTGTCGTGTTTTCATTTTCATTGGCTTCTATGTATTTTTAATTTCTTGGTTAATACATTCATTATTGAGTAGGATGTTCTTTAATCTCTAAGTATTCGTGTTCTTTCCAAATTTTTTCTTGTGGTTGATTTCGAGTTTCATAGTGCTGTGATCTGAAAATATGCAAGGTATGATCTCTATCTTTTTGTACTTATTGAGGGCTGGTTTGTGACCCAGTGTGTGATCTATTTGGAGAATGTTCCATGTGCACTCAAGAAGAATGCCTGTATTCTGCTGCTTTAGGATGAAATGTTCTGAATATATCTGTTAAGTCCATCTGGTCCAGTGTGTCATTCAGTGCCATTGTTTCCTTGTTGATTTTCTGCTTAGATGATCTGCCCATTGCTGTAAGTGGAGTGTTGAAGTCTCCTACTATTACGGTATTATTATCAATGAGTTTATGTTTGTGATTAATTGATTTATATATTTGGGTGTATAAGTATTGTATATTTGGGTGTATATATATTGGGGGTATAAGTATTTACCATTGTTAGATCTTCTTGGTGGATGTCTATCTCTTAATTATGATATAATGCCCTTCTTCATCTCTTGCTACAGTCTTTATTTTAAAATCTAGTTTGTCTGATATAAGTATGGCTACACCAGCTTTCTTTTGAGAACCATTAGAATGACAGATCATTCTCCATCCCCTTACTTTCAATCTACAGGTGTCTTTAGGTCCAAAATGAGTCTCTTATAAGCAGCATACAGATGGGTCTTGTTTTCTTATCCATTCTGATACCCTATATCTTTTGATTGGAGCATTTAGTGTACTGAAAGATACGAATTTAGCACCGTTCAGTTGCCTATTGAGTTGGTATTTCTGATGGTGCTCTCTAGTCCTTTCTAGTCTTTGTTGCTTTTGGTCTTTTCTGTTTTGTCTTTTCTCCACACAAAAGTCCCCCTTACAATTTCTTGCAGGGCTGGTTTAGTGGTCACAAACTCCTTTAGTTTTTGTCTGGGAAACACTTTATCTCTCCTTCTATTCTAAATGACAGCTTTGCTGGATAAAGAATTCTTGGCTACATATTTTTCCAAATCAGCATATTGAATATACCTGCCACTCTTTTTTGGCCTGCCAAATTTCTGTGGATAGGTCTGCTGCAAACCTGATTTGTCTTCCCTTATAGTTAAGGACTTTTTTTTTCTTTGCTGCTTTCATAATTCTTTCTTGTCTGTGTATTTTGTGAATTTGATTATGATACACCTTGGTGATGGTCAGGTTTTGTTGAATCTAATGGGAGTTCCTGTGCTTCTTGGATTTTGATGTCTGTGTCCTTCCCAGATTAGGAAAGTCTTCCACCATAATTTGCTCACATAAAACTCCTGCCCCTTTTTCTCTCTTCATCTTCTGGGACTCCTATAATTCAGATGTTATTCCTTTTTAATAAGTCACTGAGTTCTCTAAGCCTTGTATCATGCTCCTTTGCCTTTGTTTCCCTCTTTTTTTTTCTGCTTCATTAGTCTATAATCTGGTCATCTAAATCGCTGATTCGTTGCTCTACTTCATCCATCCTTGCCGTTATGGCATCCATTCAAGATTGCGTCTCAGTTATCACATTTTAATTTCTTCCTGACTAGATTTTATTTTTTTTATATCCACAGAAAAGGATTCTATGACGTTTTCAACCCCAGTTGGTATTCTTATTATCGTGGTTCTAAATTCTAGTTCAGACATCTTGCTTATATCTGTGTTGATTAAGCCCCTGGCTGTCATTTCTTCCTCTTCTTTCTTTTGGGGTGAATTCCTTCGTTTTGTCATTTTGGAGGAAGAAAAAAATTAATAAAGTAAAAGATGAAAAGTAAAAATTTTAAAACAAAACAAAAATCAAATAAAGGAAGCTAGATCCTAAGTGTGTTTTGGTCTGCTTGTTGACAGAAGCTTGATAGAACAGAGAAAAAAAAGGAAAGGATAAAAGAAAAAAAAGATAAGAAAAAATTTAAAAATTAAAAAAACTTAATGTAATAAAATAGAATAAAACGAAATAAAATGAAAGAGAAATAAAAAAACTTTTTAAATAAAAAATAAAGGAATAAAAATAAAAAATAAAATTTTCTTTCTGTATTCAAGAATGAGGAAGAAAAGGAAAAAGAAAAAAGGAAACATTTAAGCAAAAACAGAAGCAAATAAAACGAACAAATAAATGAACCAGCGAACAGAATGAAACCCGAATGAAGTTACATCCAGTTTACCCCAGAACTGAAACTATGAAGCCTTCCATAGTCCATACACTAAGCAGGTGGAATGCCTTATGCTGTTTTTCTAGGGGATATGCTTGGAGAGCGCACTTAGGCAGGACTTAGTGTAATGGCTCCATTCTCCACTAGGTGGCTGCTTAGCTTACTGGGGTGGAACAGTGTGATGCGCATGTGTGCATATGCACGCATGCACGTGGGAGAGGTGGAAATGGTTTCACCCAACAAATTTAAAAAAAAATTTTTAAATAAGAACAAAAAACTGCTGCTCTTCAAAAGACCATTAAGAAAACTGAAATGCAAGCCACAGTCTGAGAGAAATATTCATAATATATATGTGGTAGGCAGAATAATAGCTCCCCAAAGATTTCCATGTCCTAATCCCTGAAGCCTGTGAATATGTTACCCTACAGAGCAAAGGGACTTTGCAGATTTTATTAAATGAAGGATGTTGTGGGGCGCCTGGGAGGCTCAGTCAGTTAAGCATCTGACTTCAGCTCTGGTCACGATCTCATGGTCTGTGAGTTTGAGCCCCGCGTCGGCCTCTGTGCGGACAGCTCAGAGCCTGGAGCCTGCTTCAGATTCTGTGTCTCCCTCTCTCTACCCTCCCCCGTTCATGCTCTGTCTTTCTCTGTCTCAAAAATAAATAAACGTTAAAAAATATATATATTTAAATGAAGGATGTTGAGATGGGAGACTATCCTGGATTATCTGGGTGTGTCTAATGTAATCACAATTATAAATGGGAAGCAAGAGTGTCAAAATCAGAGAAACTGGAAGATGCCATACTACTGGCTTTGAAAACGGAAGAAGAGGCTACCAGCCAAAGAATGCAAGGCACCTCACAAAGCTGGAAAAGGCAAGGGAATGAATTCTCCCCTAGAGATTCCAGAAGGAACACAGTCCTGCCAATATCATGAACCATTTCAGACTTCTAACCTCCAAAACTTTGAGATAATAAATGTGTTGTTTCAAGCCACTAAGTTTGTGGCAATTTGTCATGGTAGCAATAAAAAGTAATATACATATACAACAAAGAACTTGTATCCAGAAAATAGTAAGAACTTTTTATACCTCAATTATAAAACCAACCAAAAAATGGCAAGAGATTTGTACACATACTTTACAAGAGAATGGTGTACACATATTTCACAATAGAATGTCCAACAAACACATGAAAAAGCACTCAACAGTAGCCATTAAGAAAATGCTATAATCAAATCCATAATGAAATAATACTGTGGACCTACCAGAAGACTGAGATTATAAAGCGTAACATAAGTTGGTAAGAACATGAAGCAACCGAAACTCTTTAACTGGTGAATATGTAAAATGGTACAACCATTTTGGAAAAGATGTCCCCCCAAATTTGTAAATGAATGTTCCCAGCAGCTTTCTTCATTATAGTCCAAAAAGGAAACAATCCAAAATAGCCATCAGTCAGTGAATGGATAAACAAAACATGGCTTAGTCCTATTATAGAATACTACTTAACAAGAAAAAGGAACTGATGCTATGTGCAGCAACATGGATGAATTTCAAACACACGCTAAGCAAAAGAAGTGAAATACAACAGGTACACGAGTTCCATTCATATGAATTTCTATTACCGGCAAAACTAACCCATGATGACAGAAAGCAGATCAGTGCTTTCCTGGAGCCAGGGGTTAAGCTGGGAGCAGACTGACTACAAAAGTTCACAAGAGCTTCTGAAGTGATGGAAATATTTTATATCTTGATTGTGGTAGTAATTATGCAGGAGTATCTGTGTCAAAGCTCATCAAACTACACTTAAAGTAGGAGTTTTTTTAATTGTACATCAAACCATGATTTTAAAAGAAGTTGAATTTATTTTTTAATTTAAAATTTTATTGATTTTATTTCTTAATTTAAAAAATTTTTAAATTGTTTTTAATGTTTATTTATTTTTGAGAGAGAGACAGAGCACGAGTCGGGGAAGGGCAGAGAGAGAGGGAAACACAGAATCCAAAGCAGGCTCCAGGCTCCGAGCTGTCAGCACAGAGCCCGATGTGGGGTTTGAACTCACAAACCATGAGATCATGACCTGAGCCAAAGTCAGACACTTAGCCAACTGAGCCACCCAGGCGCCCCAAGAAGTTGATTTTAAGAGAATAAAATGCCTGCACCTAATTAAGCAGACTGTAGGTTTCTGAAGCTGAGCTCTCCCTTTCCCATTTGTAATACACACCTACTTGTGCTGCAGAAGAGAAGAAATGTGAGTCTATAGACAGCATGGTGATACATCCTGTGGCAGAAACAGCAAACACTTACCTGAGGTGCTACATAATAAGGGGTGAATTGGGGTGTCATCAAGTCACCTTGGTCAATTTTGGCAAACCCAAAGTCACACAACTTCACTGGGGCATCCTAAAATAAAGCAAATGGAAGTCATTGCTCCAGAGTTCTCAGTAAACACTAAAGGAAAATCCAAGTGGAAGACATATTACCTTGAGCTCTCACTCATGGGTTTCTGACTAACACCTGAGCCTATGAATAGCATGTCCTCACATCTGAAGACAATGATTCATACTGAAGAATCTTTCTTAGTAATACAGAGGTAAAGAATTTCTGCCCACTCACAGTTGGCCTTGTTTCACGACTGGTAATTTGCAGTACTAAAATCAAGATTTTAGCCAAAAGAAAAAAAAAAATCTTAGCCAAGTGCCCCCTGACTCTATCTACTGGCCCATCATCTCTTTTCGATCCAGGGTGCGATTTCACTTTTACCATCAGCTTCAAGATAGCCAGAGCAACTTATTTGGTGGGACATGGTACACAGGGCAAGGGGTGAGACAGGAGAGGAAAAAACACCTGATCAAAATTAACAGCAAATATAACCATTACGCCTGAAGGTAATTTTTAACAGCATATAGATTACTGTCCCTTCCCAAAGTACCTCCAAATAATATCCAAAATCTTAAGTCTTACAAATGCATTATCAGTACCATCCAAAATTATCAATGCCGGGGTACAGAATTTCTCTGAGCCTCTAGCAAGGAAACAAGTGGGGAAAGTAGGCTGCCTGAAGCACTTCAGCTTAAAGCCTCCTCACCATGGATTCAGAGCACTCCAAACACATAACACACCTACACACCCATTCCTGAACTATGCTGAGCGTGGCAGCACTAAAATGCAGCAAAACAAGTCATCTCACCAAAGAGTTATCCTTGAAGAGCAGATTTTCAGGCTTGAGGTCTCTGTGAGCAATGTTTAACAGGTGACAGTGCTGTAGAGCCAAAGCTATCTGGAAAAGGACAGTGGAGCAACCACATCTTAGAAAAGACAGCTCTTTAATGCTCCTGGTTTAGAGAACTCAGGATGTTAAAAAAAAAAAAAAAAAAAAAAAAAAAAAAAAAAAAAAAAAAAAAAAAGATCCTTAATTAAGTCAATTACAACTGCGGTCAGTTTTCAGTTTTAAAGCAGAAATTAAGTAAGACTTTGGGTACCAAGGAATAGAAATGAATTAAACTTAGTTTAAGTGCAACCTGTATTTTATTAAACAAAGAGGAAAATACAACAGTAACACACTTCTTTTGTCAAAGTAAACTGATGGTTAAATCCTGTATGAAATGGGAAGAATGAAATGCTTCCAATTCCACTCATCTGAGATGCAACGGGGCTGCAGAGTAAGCGCTGTGCCAGGCAGCCTTCGTAGGGTTGGGTGTTGCCCAGCAGGGCAGTGGCCACTAACACCTGGCTCAGAAGGGAACTGCACTCTCCAGGGGGCTCAACTCCAAGCTCTGCCTTCGAGAAAAATAGAAAGCAGCTAACTGGATTTTTCCACCAGATGTTCCAATTTGCTCATCCCATTTGTTGAAATGAAATGTCACCTATTTAAGTGGGTTTGAAGGGTTTTTGTTTTACAGAAGATTATCAGAGCACATCCTAAGATTTAAAATATTTGAAAAATACGAGGTGTATTTTTTAAAATTAAATAGAGAGAACAAATTCTACCTGTTTTTTAGTTCTCAGTATGGAATTGTCCTTGGCATTCCAAATATCAGTTCCTCCCTACCAGAAAGGAGGCTTCTAATAATGCGTGAGGCTCCTTCACATTGGTAGAGCTTGGATTTGAGGCTGCTGGCTGTGGTTTGCACTCACAAGCATAGGTAGTGTGCTATAAGAGGGTCAAGTCTTCCGCTAACACCGCAAGGGTCTCTGGCCCAGTAAGTAGAGTTTGATAGTAATTCTTGCTACAAGTGAAAAAAAAAAATGCTTGAGGCTCATGGAAAATTTGGAATAATTTTTTTATTAAGAACCAATTAGGCTGTGCTTCCTGCTTTTTGCCTTGCTTGCTTGGCCTGAAGATAAGCCTTGAGAGTCTAGCTTTTCACCTCTTCAAGAGGTAATTTCAGTTAGATTCCTAGTATTGTTTGTGACATAAATCATTTCTGTAGCAATAAAACATGATGTCAAAATAGACTATAATCAGGAATAACCCAGAATTAGAAAGACCTTAGAATTCTATGAAAATCTGATAAGGTGACTCAAAAGCAAAGTGTCTTGTATACAATCATCTTAGAACATATTTTTATACCATACAATCTTTCAGGTGTTATCAGTAGCAATTTATCTTCAAGTCCAACAATAGTGCTTAGACACTACATGTTTAATAGCTACAGTCTAAAAAGGAATTAAAAAATTACCTTCCTTCCAGAGCGTATTTAAATCTTATAATAGACAAGCAATTGACAACCACTTAAAAATACAGTGCTCCCCACCAAAGCATAAAAGGGGTCACATTTCTCCTGTCAAAGCATCTTTTCTGATTACATAACAAAGCAGGCAATGAGAGATCAAATAGAGCTTTTCTTCAAGCTTTCTTTTATTCCCCCCAATGAAATTGTGCTTGTTAACCAACATTGTTGGCAGTTTGATTGGTACCCGGGGTTAACTTGCCTGCTTTGTTACTTGGCTGGCTTGCTTCTCTGTAAAGTGCCGGTGCTGGCTGATTCTGTGAAATAGCTCTCCCCCTTCCATCATCTCCATTACAATTAAGAGTCGAGCCCTGTTTGAAAGCATTTGATTTTGTTAAGTTAAAAAAAAAAAAAAAAACCTGAAACATCAAGTAGCTAACCTAAAGATGCCTCATGTACCAAATGTGTAATAACTGCTTCCTAAGTCTGACCCGCCCACACCCCTCTAAGTGGACCTTGTCACTACCAACTAGACACTATGAATAAGAAATAGCTCACACCTAAAATTTTCTAAGCTAAAATGGGAGTAAAATAATTAAGTTTTGAAGACAATGATCCTTTTGAAGATACTGTACTTGTTATTACTAGATGTTAAAGGGGGGGGTGATATATTAAGTGACATGTTTTGTATCATATTTAGGGCAGCTAGATGGAAAATGTATCGAAAACAGAGTATGACTTTGTGTAGAACATGAATTTCAAGTCACTTGGCTGCTGTTGGGCCACCCTGGTAATTCACTCTCATTCTGTGTCTGTCTGTGACTGTATCTATATCCGTGTCTCTCTCTATGTCTCTCTCTCTCCACTCCTGTCCCCACTACACTAGTTTTCCATGTGACCCACAGCATACCCAGCAGGACAGCTGGACAAGGCTACACAGCTACTAAAAAAAAAAAAGCAAAAATTCTTATGGTGTCAAAAAGAAAAAAAATCAGAATTCTGGTTACCATTCTTTGATGTACATGCTTCCAGTTTCCATCCAAATGCTTTCACCAACAGAGCACAGTTGTAAGAAACAATCATTTGATTTCCCATTTGTTTTTACAAATCCATCTTCTTTGTCCACCCAGAAGACTCCTACCCATCCTCTTCAAGTCCTAGCCCCGACATAACCACTGTGTGAGACACCTTGTCTCCCTAGCCTACAGTTAGCAGCTCTCCTCTCCTTTATAAGCTCAAAGTATTTTATGGATGCCTCTCCTTGGTGCCTATCACATTGCTATGATGACAGGTTTACATCTCAGTACCCCCAGTAGAAACCATACCTTATTTAACTTTGAATTCCCTGGAAGACACCTGGAATGCCACTCAATGGGTTTGCCAAATATTTGGCAGCTAAAAGAATAATGTTGATTTCTTCCTTTAAAAGCAATGTCAGACTAAGCAATAAGGGCTTTTTGCCATATCAACTTCAAAGACAGTGCCTAGTAATATTTGGTCCTCTTTCACTAATTTGAAATAGAATGTTTTAATTCCACATTACATACTTTTTTTTTTTTTTAAAGAGAAAGTAATCACAATAATCAGGG